CGCGTTTCAGCTTAAATCCGTTGATTTAAGAATATCAAAAGCGCAAATAGTTCGATGGCGTATATTAATAAGAATTAAAATATAATAGATGTTATAGGGTTAAAACTCCACTTCATAATGGAAAATAATAATAAGAAGAGAATTCCATGCAGGTCTCTCTTCCTCTCTCATAAAAAATAGCTCAAAGGTCCATTCTTACTTTTCGTTCGTTTGTTTAGAAGACATTAAAAAGTTACCCTTATGGACATCTGTATAATCTAATTGAAGAATAGTGTACAAACAAAATAAACTAGTGGAAAAGTTGCAATTTAGTGAAAGGCGAACTTTTAAAAATAAATAGTGAAGCATAAAGCCTCGCTCGAGTCTGAAGCAGCTGCCTGAAATCGATACCACTCTATTTTCAAGTTTTCCCGGTTTTAGATTTAATCGAGTTCAAAGGTTGCATTTCTTAAGACCATTGTGGCGTTTCATTTGTTACCTCTGAATGGAAATGGAGGTTTTTAACCGACAGTGCAAGAAGAATGAGGTATGCTCTCCATCCACTTGAATAGAACATACCTATGACGTAAAACATAAAAGAAAGAAATTTGCCTACTCTTAAATAATACAACTACCACTCGACATCTGGTAAAAAATGGACATTAAAATAAAACACTTTAACGGTTTAAAACGCGATATATATTAGCAGCCGTGGTCGCGGGGAGCCTGTCCTCAGCTGCTAAGCATCCGAACCGTCAGGCGGTAGTAAAAATAATTTTTCCAATAAGTTTAACTAATATATATTGCGTTTTAAAACGTTAAAGTGTTTTATTTAAATAAATGTTACTACTCGCGTTAACTACAGACAGTATTTCAAAACGTACATTTTTTTTATTTATTTTATGCATATATTCGCAGGGCATGAAAGCCGTGCGTGCAACTGTTTATTTATGCCACGGATTACTCGTTATCATATAACTAAATAAATGTAACTATAACCTTAATTAAATAATTAATTATGCACGTACTAGCATGTATGCATGTATTTTTGTTATATAGGTATATTGTTATATATTTATTATTATTATTATTGTTAAATTTATTTTACAAATACAAAACAAAAGCTATATAATCAGAAATAAATGAAAGTTAAAAAGAAATATTATTACGTAAAATATTATAACGGGAAAATCTAAGACGTTAAAATTATAACGGAAATATACACCGTGTGACATAATGGTCTTATAATAGACAATAAACAATAAAGTGTCAAGCTATAAATCATAGTATTAAATATCTTGTAAGTAACGGACGACCACAAAATCGTATTATAATGAAATATTGCCAACAGTAAGGATTTGCTCTTAAAATAGGTCATTCTCATGGAAAACATTAATAAATAACGGCCTGTAGTTTACGCGGGTACTACCCATTTAAATAAAACACTATGACGGTTTAAAACGCGATACATATAAGTTAAAATTATTTGACAATTATTTTAATTACAGCCTCGACTTTACAGAAGCTGCATCCCCGTGAACATGGCTAAAATTATTTATTTAAAAATATATATCCGGTATCCACAGTTCGTGCTGTTGCTCTATATTTTTTAGTATTACAATAGTTTTTGACATACTCGTTGATGTAACGTTAGCAATGTATACCTAATGAAGATCAACGGGTCGTGGATTCCATTCCGTCCGGGTGCAACTTTTTCCTAATCAATTAAAATTTTCACACATTGGACTTCGTCTGGAAAACTTGATGATAAATGGGTGGTAGGAATATCGAAATTCCGTCCGGGTCACGAACCCACCGTCCACAGAGGTAATAGCCGTCCGTCTGTGAATTACTGAATATCTACAGTCAAAATAGGTTGACTTCACATAGGTCGACTAGTTTTACCTACCATCAAGTGAACACCGTCCTTGTCTATCCTTCTCTATCATAAAAAAATTATTACCTTTCGGATAACGGCTTTATACATTTTTACCATAAAGCTTAAATTTTTTTGTTCGACATTGCTTAGCGAACTATAGAGAACTTATGGTTAAAAGGATTTCCTTAATTGTTCGCGTTCGTTTTCTACAGATCAATTTTCCATTTAGATGAAAGATACAGTTAAATAAAACATTAACGGTTTTAAACCGGATATGTATAGACCGTAGTAATTTTTTAATGTGTGCTAACGCGTAAACTACAGACAGTATATAATTACGGATTCTCAGATTGTGCCCTCTCTAGCCCTATACGCCCCGCCCTGATCGTACGAAAAACCAACATCATATTATTATATTGCCTGCAATCATTGCCTACCAAAGCAGGATGCTCAACGCTAGGCAATTAGAGTAGGTAGATCTCAATGTTACCAAACAGTAACATATTATATATTGGATTAAAATAAAACGCTTTACACGCTGCAATACGCGAAATAAATAATTAATTTATTATTATTCAATTTATATAAAAATTAGGTTAACTAATATAATATTTTCGTTTGAAACTGTTAAAATTGTTTTATTTTTATGTGTACTACTTAAGTAAATTAAAAACATTACTTACTGATTTGTTTTTTTATGACAAATCGATGGACAAGTCGGGCTTAAAATATCTTAGCCGCAGATTATCTAAACAAGATGCGTTATCGACCTTTTTTAGCTTTAGATATTTAGATACCCACAGACCGAAACCAAAAGGTGGCACACGGTTTTTTATCTGATATCCAAATTTTCCACACGAAGTCTAACGTGTTTGAGAAATTTTTTTAAATTGGTTTCAGAAACATATTGAACCCGATGGGAATCGAACTCTCTACTAGACCAACGAGGCTATCAAAACCAACTTAATTCAAACAGAACTCTTTGCTTATATTTTAAAATTAATTGTGTTTATTCTGTGATGTTATCTATTATAAGCTTCACAAGCCACATTTGAAATTGCGTTGTGGTCTGCGGCTTATGTGTGGCAGGCATGATGATGTTTCCATTTAGACATCTAGCGATGATAATGTGTATTGTTCTTGAATCGACTAAAAATACATTGGATTTAGTTCTTTCAATCATTTATTTTTTTACTTCTTTCGTAAATATGCAGTTATTTAATGCATTTTTGGCCAAATATTATACGGTCGTCTCGTCTTAAATAAAAGTTATAAATAACGACGTCACGTTTAAAACGCCACTTAACATCATTCATAGAATTTTTCTCGTCTCATTCATCAATATTCTAATTACTAATAAATAATCCATCTATATATACCGTGTTAGAATGGTAGAAATTATTAAAAAAAAACTGGTTTTTGATAAAAAAACAATTACGTAAGAGGCGGGACTTGAACTGGCATTCACCGCGTTCCAACTAATTGTGCTACTGCCGCCGTAATCTTCAAATCCCTTCCGTGTCGTTATTTTTCTTTTCAATATAAAATAAGTCTGTATAATTTAAATAAGAAAAATATTTAAGTTTTCAAACTATATGGGAAAGTATAACAATATCATTGTTATATTTTCCCAAAATTAGTTAATATCTGCTGATGTGCAGTATTCATATAGCAGAAGCAAAACTTCTATGACAGAATATATTAGAGAAATTGTGTAAACTTTGCTGGTCGACATTTGATGAAAAAAGTTTTAGAATATGAAGTAATCTTTGCCAAGCTACATATATATTTCATCTGGGTATATAATTCCCATCATGAAAGTGATAAGAATTACAGTTTATCATGAAAATCGTTCCTATATAACCGCATCTGTTCTTAAAATTTCAGGATGTGTCACAGCCCGCTAACGCGTAAATATCATTTAATATTCACACGAAAAAAATGTATCCACCCAAGTGAAGTTGAGGGCAATAAATATGTATATTATGTAGAACATCTCCCACCTGATACGCTTTTGTTCTCACATGAAATATTTACATCGACCTCGTAACCAAAGGAATGTTCAGTCTACAGTCGTGTTTAAACTATATCTTACATTTTGTTGGTTTAAAACGCGCAATATATTAGGTCAAATTTTTAATTTAATTTAACTACGGCTCGATGTTTCGACGTTACTTTTAACATTCGCTTAGAACTGCTTTTTAAACATAAAGACAATATTATTTTTGTGATTTGTAGTTTTGTAGAAAAAAAAACTAACTTTATTCTTTAGTTTCCGAAATATAAAGTTATAAAAATTAGGGATTTTCCAAAATAGCCGTTATATGTTGTATCCCATTATGATCATTTTGTATTATAAGGTTGTAGGTACCTTAGGTATGTAAAATCCTGAAAATAGCTTAGATCTATTCTTTTTTTTTCAAGGAAAGTTACTTTTCCCAGTATATACCCATTGGTTTTATTATTTAACAAATTACGCAGAATCTATCTATGTTATGTTTTTAATAGGAAAACGGGCAGAAATTAGGGGAGGCCTTCGTCAAGGGTAAAATAGAAATTATGACATTGTAATCATGTGACATTTGGTCGGTGAATAAAAGGTTATTAAATAACTACGAGCATTAGTTACCAGCAAACCCGTCGTTCCCTACATTATCGATAGGAGCTTCAGAAGCTAGCAAAGTTCGCAAGTTTGTTATCTTTTAAAATCATCCGAGTTGCAGTCTGCGATGCGAAAATGCGAAGATGGAGCGATATGAAATATGGAAGAGCCACTTTGAATCGCTGTCGATCGGGGCGTAACGGAAGCGAATTTTGAGATCTTCAACTTTTACGTTCGCGAATACTTTGAGGAGTAGGATTTAACAATTTTAAAATTTATAAGATATAATATCACTGGTGCTTAAACAGTTGGTTTTAAGTAAGCTTGAGGGCACGGAATCTCATCACTTGAATCATTATTATATTTATTATAATATTGTCAGAAATTAATGAACACAAGTGCTTATATTATAATGTTATATATATTTTAAGATTGAAACAAAAAAAGAAACGAAAACGTGGGATCGTAGATTTGAGTCCCGCCATGGTTTTAATTTTTCTAATCGAAAATAAAATTTACAATTATGTTTTGACTCTGTCCTTACCTTAATCCTGGTGCATCATCAAGATGCGTTCCATCAGGTAGCTGCCAGGCGATCTGTGGTGGTGGAAACCCGTGAGCCGCACACGAGATCCTGGCGCCAGTGCTGTTAGAGAAGACCAGACGTGGGGGTGGTTCCATCAGAAATACTGGACCGTGTTCCTGCCCATCGCCACCTGAATCATTAATAATTATACGGCTATAGACATACATTAGTGCATTACAAAATATATAGGGGACAACTGTGAAATATCTGTAGGTCCGTCAATGTCTCTACGGAAAAGTACTAAAAATTTCCTTAATAATGCGAGGAAATTAAGCAAGTAGTACAAATTAAAACTTTAAATCAATAACAAAGTTGACGTACTACTATTAAACAATACTTTTTAACGCGCCGAAGAATTTTTTGTTATGTGAAAGCCAGTTGAAAATTTTAGTTAAACCTTTGATAAGTCACCTCTTTGGTCGCCACGTTGCGTCTGAGTAGATCGTTCCATTTTTAAATTACTCAAAAAATATGATTGTACATATTAATTCATTTTGCCGCTAAACACGACAAGTTGGTCGCTGCTCGACCTTTACAGCAAGTTCGATTTATCTTGTCAAAATAATGCTCAAATATCAAAGTTTGTTTGAGAATATGTCAGTAGACTATAGAAATTGTAAAAGCGATGATGACAGCTAGTAACATACCATTGTAAATATGAGAATTGGGTCAGATCACCGACGTACAGACTAATAATGCATTTAGTCACTTTACAAACACGTCCGCAATCTGGCCAGTTTCAACGTTAGCGTTTGAAACTCAAATTGCTTTCTAGTACAACGTTTGTAAGCGAGTACGCTGAAACAGCTCGGGGCTAAGTACCACACTGGACAATTAATCCGAGTTTAGCTTTGGGAGAACCCCCGGGGTCGTGCGAGTGACGTCCGGTGTGTACTTTTTGCATTAGATTAGCAAATATGCAAAAATAGGGTTGTTGACAGTAAACAAAATGTAAAATAATATAAATGAGTGCAAATTAGTGATTTCGGATATAGAAATACAGAATATTATTTTTTAAATTGTTGTATTAGTAAAGTTATTTTACTGACTGAGAAACAGTATAATTAATAACATTTCGGGGCAAGTTATGATGATGAAAAACGAAAACGCATTATTAGAATCTACTACCTACGTTATTTTTAAACAATATTTTCGTTTAATAACAAAACTAGAGAAAAAAAAACAATTTAGAATTGATGACATTCCTACAACGAAGCTGTGTCGGATTCTGATAAATACCTACTCAAAATAAACATCTCTTCGTAAGGTTCAAAAGACAATTTTGATAGTCTAAATTGAATGAACACAAAAACGCAACGATTGAATCGATACAATCGGATTAGTTTTGGAAATTTAAAAATCGAAAATAAATTGAAAAAGTTTTCGACTCGGGCAAGACTTGAACCGGTATCGTCAGCGATCCTTGTTGTTGCTCTACCAATTGAGCTACCGAGTCCTACACATCACAGTCGAATGTAATTTCAATAGTTTGGAAACACTAAATTCGATACAAAGTAAGTAACTTATAACGCAACCGATCGTTCGTGACTACTAATGGCTCGAAGCAAGACTCGATCGCTTCACGAATAGAACCCGACTCCCGGTGGGCACTAGTCTGTGTCCCACCACCAGAAATCCCTATCCTGACATTATTTCAAAATAACAAGTTGTCAATAGCCGTCTGTCAATAAGAGGTAGTCAAACTGTCAATTCCACTATATCGACTAGTCTCAAGTCATAAGTGTTACTTGTTACAGCTGTTAAACAAACTATTTAGTAAATTTGGTAAATGTATTGTCGATGGCAACACTGCGAAACGTTAAAAAAAAAATGAGTCCCGCTCGTGTCGTGAATTTATCAACCTAAATAGATATAAATATAAAACAATTATCTCTGTTGTTTCTCAGATAGAGTTAATCATTGAATACTTCAAATTCAATTGGAACATTCTTGTCGAGAGAAAAGTTGGAACACAGATAGGATACACTAGATTTTCCGGAATCTAGTTACTAAATGTGGTAAACACGAGAGCCGAGTGTTGAAATAAACTTTTGCAATCTCTATTCGTGGTAAAATGATTGTACATAATTTCTGAACTCTATTTTATTTATCAGCTATTTTAATTGTTTGTTTTACTGCAAAATATTAAAATCAAAATATTTGTATTAACACAACTATTGGTTTATTGATAGATACTAATAAATGGGGCATGTGTAGAACATTATCTGTGTTGTAAGACTTCTGTGCCCCTGCTTAATGGAGGCAATTATTCTTAACCCAGAAATCGAACCCACGACAGCACTATAACACTACGTTACTAGTAACGCAACGCGTTTCTCCGTTGAACAATAGGTGGCTTTGGTTTATTTTTCCCTGTACATTATTTAATGCATTCTGAATATACTGGAAGTTGTGTATATTTGTTTAATAATTTTTCAAATAAACTTTATACTTACCTATTCTAGTACAACGCATCAAGAAGAACAAAACGGGTCACCGATGAATAGTCTTACATTAGAGTACATAAATTAGTCATGAGTGAGAATAATAAATTGTCCCAAGCCCCATGGCTGGGCTGCAGTAAGTTGAGGCTTTTTAGGTCAGCGGAAGCCAACGCAGATTAAAAGCGGGCTCTTATAAAATTGTTTGAGTTTTTTACTCTAAACCGTGAGCTGGTTAACGAGTTGGCAACTTTCTAATGTATTTCTCTAACAAAGAAGTTTTGTTGACTGCACCCGTAAGCGCTGTGAGTATATTAAGCAGATTATATGTCAAAAATATATAATTTCGCTTATATGAGGGATAAGCATATATATCCTGATATATAAATTGTGGGCGAGACTTTTTTCTGAAAATTTGAAACAAAATCTCATTTCTTTTTAAATCTTGTTATTTAAGAAAATCAATAATATAAGATATAATACAAGTTAAATATAGAAATACAAAATACTGCAGAAGTTTATGCGATAATAAAACATTTTAATGATTAACGCAATATATTGTCTCCCCATAACTGCAAACCATCCGAAACATCGGGCCGTAGTTAAAATAAATTACAAATGAGTAACGAATATATATCGCGTTTTAAACCGTTACATTGTTTTATTTAAATAAAATAACTATCATTAATAGATATTGGGTAGATGCGGTATACACCTTTCGTATTTACTTATACCTAATATTATTGGTTAACATTAAACAGAATAATGTCACAACTAAATAGTGAAGCTCGCTGTGGAATGCATGCCTACGCGCTATCGCGATCTAAAAATAGCTCCATCTAGTCAGTTTATATAGACACATATAACTTGTATTGTAAACGGATAAGACGGTGCGGGTAGCACCAAATGCTAGTTAAGTTTAAAATGAAATTACCCTAGTTTCTCAGTAAAAGATTGTATGTAATCATTTGAGAAATAAATACATTTTTTAAACCGTAATTGTAAGAAGTTTTTACTAGCTATCTTTTTTTCTTGCCAAAAATATATGAAGAACAATAAATGACATAGTTACATTACTCATACAGATTATGTAGTTATTTCGCTCTATGCAACGTTATTCTATACATAATAAAATTCCCTCTATTTTGCAAAAATAAAACATAAATATAAATAAATAACCTAATCACAGAAATACGTGACGAGCCCCGTTTCACAAGGGATAACATAAAGTTATTTAAAATCTATAGTTACGTACAACCTCAAATATTGCTGTGTACATCTCACGTTCTCCTGAGAAAAAAGTCTTGACTTAGTTACTAAAGTTGCAAACTAACAAGTGCTTATCTTAAGTTAGTCGTGGGTTTAAAAATAATATTGTCCCATTTTCTAAGTGGGATCTTAAAAAAGTGTTTAAATATTTTTTATTGTTGTATATGATTATTTTTGCCCTACCAAATTTTGTAAAAAGTCTTTGATTAAGCAATAGCTGTAGTTTCTCGAGTAGTACACATTAAAATGAACGCGTTTACTGTTTTAAAATGCGAAAAAGATTTTTTTTAACTGCGACCCAATGTGTCGGATGTTTTGCAGCAGCAACCCTACGAGATGTAAATAAGTTAACGTTTTACGTTACCCACTGCTGATGTAAATAAGTTAACGTTTTACGTTTTAAACCATTGTAAGTGTTGAATTTTTAACTAACAAATGTTTGATTGTTAAATGGCGACGACGACATTAAAGTAGGTAATGCATATTGTTTGCAAACTTAAAAATCAAAGCTTCTACGAGTAAGAACATAGGAATATTTTGAGTTGAATAAAAATGAGGTACACAAAGGATAATCAGCATATTAAGTAGTTTTTCCTTAGGCAAAAAACTGCTGGAACACATTCATTATTCATCTAATAAAGAAGACAATGAAAGCCAAGTAACACAGGCACAGATAGATGTTCGCGGGATTATGATCTCAATTTACCCGAAAATAAGATTTAATACGGTGTGTACAAAAGAAATTAACATGTAAACAAGGTGGGTAGTATTTTATAGTCTGCGTAATGAAACTCTGTTCGGAGGTCGTTGATATTATTAAGTGGTCTGATAAAAAAAAATATTGACTTAGTAATTTATTCTATACATTGTAATTGGTTTCTAAGCAAATTAATCGCGGCTTATTCTGCCTTTGTTAAAATGCAAAGTAAGGTTCACAATCATGGAAGAAAATAAAATTTCTTCATAATTTGATAGTAGGAGGATATATAAGTATATAAAACTTATGGCAAACGTTTTTTTGCCATCCATTCTTTCATACATATATTTTGGGAGCCGTTTTTGCTGAGAGTTTCCCTTAAAGAATAATTTTGCCCGATTTTTCCACATTGTTCACCGTCTCATCGTATCCTATTAGTCACAGCGTGATGTTTCATACTTAAGGGTATGAAACATCCTTCCACAATAAATGTTCTAACCAACACAAAAAATGTTCAATTCGAGCTTGTAGTCGTGAGATAAGCGCGTTAAACAAACAAACTCTTCAGCTTTATAATATATTAGTATAAATATGGTCGCCTAATAAGGCATAAGAAATACCACGCACATTTAATACAATGTGTAAATTACAACAATAAATTACATACAATTTTTAATTAGCCCCTTAAATAAACGAAAAATTTTCGACCGAAAGTTGTACACAGCGTGTTTTTAACCGCATTGTGTCCGAAAGGTTTATCCTTCGAGCGCGTTGTTTGCACAAGTACCAGGGAGGCAGCAGAGTCGGAGAGCAAAACCTCCGCCCCCTTTCTCCCAACTTTCCCGAGTATTTATGAGAGCATGTTTCACTTGTATTGTTTATGGGACGTGCACAAAGTTCCGTTGTTTAATTTTAAAAATTTTAAACACAGCTTTTGTCTAACTAAGGTCTATAAACACAAATCATTAGCGATTGATGATTGTAAAGACTGTGGAAAGTTGCGCCACATCTAATGATGTCAATCACTCGTGTTTGCAAAACGTCGAGAACAATTTATGACTTAGGACGATCGGAAGCTCAAAAATGCAATAGGCCCTTGCACAATGGCCGCTACAAACTTTAAAACAATGTAATTTCTTAAAGCTTTACAATTTAAAGAATATTTATATTCGATTGTCTGTAGCTGGATTATATACATTTAAATAAAACTCTTAACGGTTTGAAACGTGAAATGTATTAATTAACTTTTTTTAATTTATTAACTACGGCCCTATAAGCTATTAAATTTCTCATGACAAAGTATTAATTTTACTTCGTTCTTAGAGACTTCTTTTAAACAGCCTAAAATTGTCCATAGACAATAAGTTCAATACTCGTTTAATTAATGCATCCTCAGAACGAGTTCAACAATATTTCACTTTAACATCAATGTACACTGATTGTTTATTACGACTGCTGACTACATGGAAAACAATTGTTTGCTGATAAAATATTGGT